TTGCCTCCGAAACGTCGTGCTATTTTTTTTTTATTTCATTTTTTTACCTACGTGACTTTACCGAAAGAACTAAGAGTGTGAGTTCGACTGTCGGTCATCGGCGGCAAGTGGGGATCTGACTTACCCTGGGCGAGCCCCAAGTCGAGTTCACCTCGACAGAGTACCCGATGACGACAAAGACAAAGATCCCCACCATCCCATATAGCCTGAACAGACTGTTGGGGCAAGTGCTGTTAGCGAGCACCTATGAAGGCCGGCACGGCACACGAGGGGGTGGGTGACCAACACCACGCCCGGCCACCTTTGTGTCCCCAGTGGCGATGTCTTTTTTTACACACCGCACCAAGTACTCATTTGAGGCTGAGTCGACCTAGGGGAGGCCCATGACAGATTCAGATAAACGTCACCGGTGTTGGCCGTGAGCGGGATTCGAACTCGGGTCGCCGGTTTCGTGGCGCAGCCTCGCGCTAACCGCTGCACCACCGCTCCCCACACCCAATACTGACACACGCGCACACCAGGAAACCATTTAACACTGAATGCGTATCTGGTGCGCGTGTGTAAGCATCAGCATTGGGAAGACAAGATGCTCACTAATAGCACTTTGCCCCAGGAGTTTGCATGGCTATTAGGGGGAATCTTATAATTTTTTTGTTTTATATGGCGTGCTTAGATTTATATAATTCCGTAGCATCTGCCAAATGTGCAGAAATGCACGCTGCTCTACCGAGACTGCGAATGAAAGAGAGAGGCGGCTTGGAGAGGCCGCCCCTGTGGGAATCTTCTGCCCTGCAGCCTCGGAGCGCTGAGCCGGCTAACCTCCACCTGGGTTCGAATCCAGTCAGTGGCCTGTGGTCAAACCGGGTTCTCAAGCGCAGGGGAAGTGACCGTCTCCACTGTGTGGGTCAGAGGTCACTTGAAGGGTTCCGTGGCGTCCACTTCGCTCACACGGGCTGGACTTGTTGCAGCTCCCTGCGGTGCATGCACGCACTGCGGAAGCTCCGGACGGATTCTTCGGTTCAGGACGTGGCGACGATTGCGCGACGTGGATTAAAGTGGTGGGGGGGGGGGGAGACGCACCGCTGCCGGTACGCGCGCGGGCGCAGGGTCGTACGCGCGAGAGATTGAACGCATTCCCGATTCGTCAATCGTCACGTCGCGAGATGCACGTCTCTCGCCCTGCCGAGCGCTGCACGCGCACACACACACACACGCACACACATGCGCGCGCACACACACACGCGCACGCACGCGCGTAACTTGAAATGACTTCCTACGAATCTCTTGCATACTCCTGTGCGTGCAAAAGTTGGTTTGCAAGTCGAGGCTTATATTTACATTAATTACAAGCGCTGCTCTCCGCGTGGACGTGCCCGCCCCGTTGTGTGTTGCACGCACTCCATGCCCACAGCGAAAGCTGGCATCAGAATTTTAAGACGACCACTGCTATTCATTTCTTATCCATCCTTCCATGCATCCAGTAAAGCCAAAACGAGTTCCAGTGACTCGTTTCAGGATGGTCCTGCTACATTGGGGATTTATTTTATTTTATTTTAAGACGGTCTGAGCCGATTTACGATGCGAGTGGTTTTTATTTCTGCACGCGGGAGCAAACCTGAATCACCCGGAGGAAAAACCCACGCGTGTGAGCGAGGGGCAGAGGTCGCAAACGGGTTTTGATTCCTTACCCGTACCCGGCCGCACCAGGGTCGCAAATGGGTACCCGTACCATACCCGTACCCGGCTGTACCCGTACCCTACCCAAAATGAGTGACAAACTGTTACTCACCAGTGATTCACGGCCTACCCGTACCCGTACCCGGCCGCACCAGGGTCGCAAACAGGTACCCGAACCCGGCCGGGTACGGGTAGCCGGGTATCGGGTAGGGTACGGGTATCGGGTACCAGGTTGCGACCTCTGGCGAGGGGGCAACGTTCTGTTCCCCGTACGGATGGAATACAGGTGGAGATTGGTCCACCCTTTGCTGCGCTGCCCTCTCCTGGCGAGATCAGGGGGTTACGGCTCCTCCTCGACGCCGACGGGAAGGTGCGGTGATCCACCAATCCCCCCTCTCCGCAGCGGTGGATCGCAGGCAGCCGCAATGCAGAGACGCCGGACGGCTGGCGCCAGCCAGAGATGTGGCGTTTGGCGGCCGAGTTGGCCACCGACGTGGGGGAAATATCTCCGCCATTTTTTTCCTTCTCCCCGAAAGGAGCCTTTTAGTTTCGTTTGCAGCGCGATTAAACGCAGACGAACGCTCGTCGCACAAGTTGGCGAAAGTTACAATGGCCGAGGACACCCTGAACGCAAAGGGCGCGACGTAACAAAAAACAATCGCGATCGTTATTTCATCGGGGGCGACGACGCGGCCCAGGGGTGTGCCGCTTTTGACAGAGGTTCGAGGCTCGGAACCCGGGAGGCCGACCTGGTTAACCCTTTAACCCGTTCCGATGACGTACACGTACGTACGTGTACGTCATCCTAGGTGATCTTCGGTGTACGTCATCTTACGTGACATGGGCTGACGTGCGTGTACTATGACGTAAACATATGTATGTGTACGTCATCCTACGTGGTCGTCAGTATACGTCATCCTACGTGACATATGACGTACACGTACGTACGTGTACGTCATCAAAACGGAATCGGAAGAAAAATGGATAGCGTACGCGTACGATGACGCACGGTGGCGTACACGCACGTGCGGTTCAGTTTCTGATTCCGTTCCGTTCACGTAGTTGGACGTGAACGGAACGGGAATCGGGAATGAAAGGCCACGCGGGACAGAGCACGGGGCACAGTTTTGGCGCTGGCTCTTCATAGAGTGGCGGCGATCACGTCCACCGTGGTTCTCTGCGGCGAGTAACGACGTCTTAAAAAAAAACACCCTGCAACTTGCAGGCGTCACCGGAACGCGACGTGGCTAATACTGCGTGTGTGTGTGTGTGCGTGTGTGTGCGTGTGTGTGTGCGTGTGTGTGCGTGTGTGTGTGTATATACTGGCACGTTGAAGATCCCGCGATGCCATTCCAAAAGGGGAGAGAAATCCGTTTTGCCTGCATTCACGGCCCACAAACGCAAAATATATCGGCAAATACTGGACTGGAATTATCCGCTGAAGACCGTCTGTGCGTGCGTGGCCAACCGCGCTAACCGGAGGTGCGGGTAGGGTATGTTGAACTTCTTTCGCACCGTACGTAGCCAACCAGGGCTAACCGGAGGTGCGGGCGAAGGACGACAAACTAAACACAGAAAAAGCAATTTAAAGCTTCTTTCGTGACTGCAGGGATTCATATTCTTGGTTCTTTCGGTAAAGTCACGTAGAAGGGAAATAATAAAATAATTATATTTAAAACAATACAATTCTCATCATCAAGGATGATAATTGCTTGTGTTGCAATGGAAACGTCGTGAGAATTTTATTGTTTTTAATTTTATGTTATGATTTCCCTTCTACGTGACTTTACCGGAAGAACCAAGAATACACAAAAATCAGTTTTACAAAAATTAGTTTTCAAACTGATCGCCTTGTGCTTCAACATTGCTGCTTTCCCCGACGTACTCACAATCGGTGTCTCTGTAACTACTACTAACTGGCCATTGTGTGCCGCTCTGTGCTTTTACACCAACGTCGTGATTGTAGCCACCGGCAATTGGACGGAACCTGTCACGTGTTGCGCATTTCACAGCAGCTTCCCGATCGTCGCTGCCTGTGATTGGACGGAACCTGTCGCGTTCTGCGTATTGCAAAGTAACCTTCTGATTGGATGCGATCTGTCAAAGGTGGAACTTATATCGCACTAAAGACGTATTTGCCAAATCCTCCGTGTGTTCACTCGCCAAAAAATATAAATGCATGTTTTTTTTTTACCTTGTTCACGAGTAGGAATACTTTTAGTAGGAACATTTTTTTTTAACCTTCTATTGAGTTTACAATCTTTAAATCGAGTAAATGGCACTTAATTTTACCAGGAAATTAATTGGAAATCCGGTTAACAAAGCTGCAGGTTATCAGTTAAATTGGGATGCATGCAATACACACCCATATTTGTACAGAAATGCGCGCGTGTCTGCACGTGTGTTTGCACGTGAGCGGTGGGGCACTGCGGTTAGCGCAGCGCGTGACGAACCCAGCGACCCGAGTTCTAATTCCAGCTCACAGCCCACATCAGTGACGAATATCCGAACCGGTTCTGCGCCTGACATTGAGTACCTGGTGCGGTGTGTGTAAAACATCAGCATTGGGGAGACAAAGACGGCCGGGCGTGGATGCTGGCCACCCACCCCCTCGTGTGCCGTGTCGGCCTGAATGGCTGCTCGCTCAGATTTCGCCCCAGCGGACTGTCAAAGGCCATTGGGGGGAAATTTGTCTTTTGCATTTTGCACGCGAGCATCTGTGCGGTGTGTCACAGCGATTCGCGCACCGCGATCCAATCCCGTTTGTCCCGCATTCCGTCTCTTAACCCGCACACGGCAAAAGTGGCCATATATCTACAAACCCTGCCCGCACCTCCTCTAGGTCCACTCGGCCTGAAAAAAAAGAGCTCCCGATGGCGTACGGTGAACATCGACACCAGAGGGAGCAGCGTCAGCTGCAACGCTCCGCCGGCACCACCCCCCGCCACTCCCCTGGTGTGCTCCGTGCTGGCCTTAATAGGCGCTCGCTAACAGCGTGCGCCCCGACAGCCTACAACAGCAGTGGGGCGGCGAGGGGACGCATCCCACTGGCAACTTTTTCTATTTTTTCGAAATGTGAAATATCTGCGGAAGTGGCACATCGGCCCTGGGATGAACCAGGGCCCGCTGCCGCAGATTTCTGAATTAGAAAACCCCGCCCCCCCCCTCACCCCCCCCCCCCCCCCCCTCAGTGTGACACGGAACACGTTGGGCCAACGCTGGTGCCCAGACGCATCCGAACCGCACGCGATTGGCCCAACGCTCGGACGCGACGGGCCCGACGTTGGCCCAGCGTTGCGCGTTTCCCGGGAGCGCAGGCAACGCGTGCATCTCTGTGCCACCCACCCCCCCCTCGTGCGCCGCGCCGGCCCTCATAAGGTGCTACTCGCTAACAGCACTTGCCCCTACAGTCTGTTACAGGCTACACGGGGGGCATCTTTGTCTTTTTTGTGTGTGTGTGTGAGTGTCGCGGTGATGGAGTGGCGAGCAGTCCTTGGTGGGCGCCCCGCGTGCTGCCGCTGTTCTTGCCCCCGGTGTTGCCGCCAATGGTGTTGCCGCCGCCGTTGCGGCCGCCGCTGTTTCCTGTCGTTGGTTGCCCCCCGCCGGCCGCCGCTCGCCGGCCGCGGTCACAGCGACGTCTCGTTGGCGGGCGGGCGAGCGTTCTCCTCCTCCAGGAGAGCGATGCGCTGCTTGAGCATCCGCGCCTGCGTCTCGTGGCGCTCCACCATGGACACCGTCTGTGCCTCCAGCCTCTTCACCTTGCTCTGGTACTTCTTCTTCGTCTTCTCGTACGCCGCTATCAGGTTGCTGCGCGGGGGCGTGGGCGGCGTGGGGGCGCAGACACACATGGACACACACAGACACACACGGACACGCGCAGACACACACAGACACACGAAGACACGCTCAGACACACGGACACGCGCAGACACACACGGACACGCACAGACACACACGGACACGCGCAGACACACACGGACACGCGCAGACACACACAGACACACGAAGACACGCTCAGACACACGGACACGCGCAGACACACACGGACACGCACAGACACACACGGACACGCGCAGACACACACGGACACGCGCAGACACACACGGACACACACAGACACACAGGGACACGCGCAGACACACACAGACAGACGAAGACACGCGCAGACACACACGGACACGCACAGACACACGGACACGCGCAGACACACACGAACACGCGCAGACACACACAGACATACACGGACACGTGCAGACATACACAGACATACACGGACACGTGCAGACACACACGGACACACACAGACACACGGACACGCGCAGACACACACGGACACGTGCAGACACACACAGACATACACGGACACGTGCAGACATACACAGACATATGCAGACACACACGGACACGCGCAGACACACACACAGACACACACAAACACACACGGACACGCGCAGACTCACACACAGACACACACGGACATGCGCACAATCGCACCATTTGAAATTTCTGGTTAGGCCACGGCCACGTAGGTGACGGTCTGTTTCTCCTACGACGCTTTCCTGAAGAACACCGCGTGATGTAAAATCGCGTTATAATAAACGATATATAACACAGAGGGGTAAAGCACAGTGCGCGATAACACGTGAGACACGCACGCAGGCCGGACAAAGACCGAGGCGCGTGGGGGTAGCGTCTAGAAGCATCCAGCAGCATCCCGCCTCGTGCGATGATGCTACGCCGGGGCAGCCGTGCAATTCCTACTCATGCTGCGACGTGGTTCCATTTACTCAATCGCGTTATATACAATTCGCGTCCGCGTTATATGGGGGTCATCTGTGGGGGTCATCTGTGGGGTCACCCATGGGGGTCACCCATGGAGGTCACCCATGGGGTCACCCCTGAGGGTCACCCAAGAGGTCATCCCAAGGGGTCATCCCAGGGGGTCACCCGTGGGGTCATCCGTGGGGATCACCCGTGGAGGTCACTCCAAGGGGTCACCCGTGGGGGGGGGTGGGGGTCACCTGTTGGCTCGCTTGAGGTCATTGACGAACTCGGCCGACTGCTGGTGCCTGATCTCGCTGCTCCGCGTCAGCTTCTCCAGCGCCGCCACCAGCTCCTGCACACGGACCTTCAGCTTCTTCTCCCTAGGAGGGGCGCGGTGGCAATTCATTTTTAATAAAAATTATTAGTAAATAAAATAAATAAAACTCATGATAATAATAAAGTGTAATCAAATATTAATAAATCTGAAATAATAAGAAAGTAATAAAAAAAGTGTCAGAAAAACAATAAATAATGCGGAATAAAAAATAAACATTTGTAATAAAATACTAAACAATAACAATAAATAATAATAAAAGGCGCAGCCCCGCAATTGCCGCTCACGCCACCGCCGGCGGAAGGAGCCTTCGCTGCAGCGAACCAATGGGAGAGAGAGGCTCTCCGGCGCCGTGGGGCGCGTACCCACAATGCACCCCACCGCTCGCCAGCCTGGGCCGTCCACTCACTGCGGTGCGACCCACTGCCTCCGGCTGGGTGGGCAAACGGACGCGGCGGGGCGGGGATTCGAAGACCGCCGGCGACGTTGGTGGACCCCGCGGGCACCGGCGGACCCCTCCTGGGTTGCGGGAGCCCGGCGGTGCCGACCGCTAACAGAATCGGAATATTTACTCGTGCTGGAGGAATCCGATGAGCTGCAGAACACAGCTGGTGGCCGCCCTCGGATTTTATATTGGGTGGGTTGCGAAAATTCTGAAATGTCAACCCCTGAATGAAGCCAAGGTGTGCGAGCGTGTGTGCATCAAGGGCGATCGCGCTGACAGCACTTGCCCCGACTGTCTGTTAAGGCTATATGGAGGGGATCTTTGTATTTGGCTTATTTGTATTCAGGCTGCGCTAACGAAACTCGTCGGCCCGAGTTCGATTCCCGCTCGCGGCCACCAACACCGGTCGTGATTATCTGCACCGGTCCTGGGCCTCCCCTAGGTCGACTCAGCCTCAAATGAGTAGCTGGTGCGGTGTGTAAAAGCATCGCCACTGGGGAGACAAAGGCGGCCGGGCGTGGTGCTGGCCACCCACCCCCTCGTGTGCCGTGCCGGCCTTCATAGGCGCTCGCAAACAGCACTTGCCCCTACAGTCTGTTACAGGCTACACGGGGGGGGGGGGGTCGTTGTTTTTGTGCGAGCGCGTGGGCTCAACGGATCGACGGATCCCATCCGGATTCAAATGAGTGACGTCCGGGCGACGCTGCCGCCGCTCGTGTCCGAGGTCGACGCCGAGAGACGCGACGGCAGAGGGGCGGCAACTTCGCTCTCTCTCGTCGCGGCGCTTCCCGACTCGCTCCTGCGGCCGTCTGGAACGCTCTTCCTCCTTGCGGTATTAGGAAGGCTACTGGTGTCTTACGCACTTTGACAATCACCTTGATTGAAAACTCATTTCTTTAGAACTTGACGTCGTCGTCGTTGTTGTTGTTGCCGTTGCATTTAGTTTGTTGTCCTTCCCCCCCCACCCCCGCACCTCCGATGAGCACGAGTTGGCTAAGTATGGTGCCAAAGAAGTTCAACGTACATAATAATAATAGGACAAATGGGCAATATGGTCACGCATATACAGGGTGCTGCAAAATGTTTTTAACACGTGAGAGCGTATTATCATAATACACTATAACATGTTAACACATGTACGTTAATAGCCTCAAAAAGTCTCCACTTGTTCGCCATCGTTGCCAACGCGTGCCTGCGATCTTCTGCAGGTGATCTCCAGAGCCCGGAGACAGCACATGTCTTGTGGCGTTGTCGCACATTCTCCGAAGCGTTAACATCTTTTTGAAGCACCCATTATTACTCTACAACATACAGAGGAGAGAAATCTTGCTTAAACATCCTGCCGACGCCATGCGCACGTGGCTACCCGCCCAAGGTGTCTTAGGCGGGTAGCCCTACGTAAGCAAGGACAAGGCTTGCCCCCCCCTCGCCGCCGACCTCCGTCCCAGTACCAACGACCAAATTGATTCATGAGCAGACAGCTGACCTGTGGAGGGCATCGGAGAGCTCGTTAGCCAGGTCGTTGTCGTGAAGCGGCGAGCGGAGTTCGGCCAGAGTGATCGCCGCGGTCAGCGTCTCTCCGTTCTCCTGTTGGCCGGCAAGGGGGGTGTGTGGGGGGGGGCACAGGGCGAGGGTCAACAAGGGGTCAACAAGGGGTCGACGGGGGTGGGGCGGGGGTCACGAGTCAGGGGGGCACGGGGCGGGCGAGGGGGGCGGCCGCTGCGGTTTCCACGGCTGCAACGATCAGAGGAGAATGGAGGTTTTGTTTTCACGGGCAGCCGCGTTTGTAAGGCGCGACACGCGGGCCAAGCATCGGGAACGCACTGGGCGGCGACGAATGGCGACGATTGGAACCTCTCCTCTCCACGCCGCTGGAAATTGATTTGGCGGAAACCGCGGATGGGGACGCGCGCAGAGCGTCGCCGTGGTAATCACGGTCGTTGGCAGCGGCGTGCTCCATCCACTGCTGGGTGGAGGAGGAGTCGCGATTGCGCGCCGTCCGTTTGTCTCGCGTGAAGATGACGTTTGCGGAGACTCCGCAGATGTTTGTTCGATCCACCGCTGGGTGAGGGACGTCGCACGGCGTGTCGGTCGGCTGTTGCCAGCACAGCGCCCTGACCTCTGAACCACCCGGCTCAGAGGTCGGAGTTTATATTCAAAGCTTAAACGTCGGCGGGGAAACTGCCGAGCGGCTTCGTCGAGTGACTCTCTCTAGCGCCCTCAACTGCCGTGCCCCCTCCCCACCCACGCTCATCCCCGTGCCCTCTGACCCCCACAGAGGAAGTCTGTCCCAGGCAGTGTGCAGGTGGTGCAACTGCACCGGGGCACCACGAGCCGGAGCAGCCTGGGCGCCGGCGATATACGAAGAGGGGAGGGAAACTTGGACGGCGGATTTCCATTTAATTCTTTGCACCAGGGCCATGGCAACCACGCTGCACTACCCTGTGAAACATATGACGTGGTGGCAATGCTGCACTACCCTCTAAACGTACGACGAGGTGGAAACGCTGCACCACCCTCTAAACATACGACGCGGTGGCGACGCTGCACCACCCTCTAAACATACGACGCGGTGGCGACGCTGCACCACCCTCTAGACATACGACGCGGTGGCGATGCTGCACCACCCTCTAGACATACGACGCGGTGGTGACGCCGCGCCCGCCGGCGTCAGGCCGACCTTGGGCGTCTTGAGACGAGCGCCGGTGCCGCCGCCGGTGCCGCCGGTGCCGCCGCTGCCGGAGCCGAGCGAGCGACTCCGCTGCTCGCGCTGCTCCTCCACCTCGGACTTGAGGTGCTCGATGTGCACGAGGTAGGCCTGCTCCTGGGCCTCGCGCGTGCTCAGCTTCAGCTCCAGCGCCTTCCGCTCCTTCTCCACGAGGTAGAGCTGCGCCTTCAGCTCTGCCATCTCCTCCTGGGGACGGGGCGGGGGGGGGGGGGTACCGGTGTCACGGGGGGGGTGATGGACCGGCGCGCGGACACGGCAAGAGAGGTGGACGGAGCGACAGGTGGACAGATTGGTGAAGGTGGGAAGAGAGGGATGGACAGAGAGACAGGCAAGACAGATAGATGGAGGAGGGTGAGGAGAGTTGGATGGATGGGACAGATGGAGGTGGGAATACAGAGATGATTAGACATATAGGCAAGGCAAGTCAGATGTAGGAGTTATGATGAGAGACGGATGGGTGGATAAATGAGACAGATGAATGGATGGAGGTGGGAAAAGAGGGATGGATGGAAAGACAGGCAAGACGAGAGAGATGGAGGCGTTGTGCGGAGAGACAGATGGATTATATGGACAGACTGACGGATGGAGGTGGGCATTAACATAACCCGCGAGCATTCGAACACAAAACGGCAAATTTGACCAATGCCAGAGGCAGCCAACCGCTAGGACAACAATCCAGGAAGACGAGAAGGCGGCGCAGCAGAACGTGGACTCGAGTCCGCTTCCGTCTGCGTGGCGTACTCGGAGTGATGCCCCCCCATCGCAGGCGTGGGGCTTGCTCCGGGTGCTGCGGTTTCCTCCCACGTGTGAACACTCATTAATTGGAAGACGCCACCTTCATATATGGAGGATCGTAGAGCTTTGTGGGTGCGGTGGGTGGGTGGGCGGGCGGGCGGTTGGGTGGGCAGGTGTTTGGGTGGGTGGGTGTATTTATGTGGGTGGATTTGGGTGGATGGGTGGATTTTGGTGAATGGGTGGATTTGGGTGGCTTTAGGAGGCTTTGGGTGGCTTTAGGAGGCTTTGGGTGGGTGGGTGGGTGGATGGCTCTGGGTGGGTGGGTGGATGGGTGGGTGGCTTTGGGTGGGTGGCTTTGCGTGGGTGGGTTTGGGTGGGTGGGTGGCTTTGCGTGGGTTGGTGGCTTTGGGTGGATGGGTGGATTTGGGTGGCTTTGGGTGGGTGGATTTGGGTGGATGGGTGGGTTGGGTGGATTTGGGTTGCTTCGGGTGGCTTTGGGTGGGTGGATTTGGGTGGACGGGTGGGTGGATTTGGGTGGCTTTGGCTGGATGGGTGGATATGGGTGGGTGGCTTTGGGTGGATGGTGGATTTGGATGGCTTTGGGTAGCTTTGGGTGGCTTTGGGTGGCTTCTGGTGGCTTTGGGTGGGTGGATTTGGGTGGATGGGTGGGTGGATTTGGGTGGCTTTGGCTGGATGGGTGGATTTGGGTGGGTGGCTTTGAGTGGATGGGTTGATTTGGGTGGCTTTGGGTGGCTTTGGGTGGCTTTGGGTGGCTTTGGGTGGCTTTGGGTGGCTTTGGGTGGGTGTATTTGGGTGGATGGGTGGGTGGGTGGATGGATTTGGGTGGGTGGGTGGGTAGATTTGGGTCGGTGGTTTTGGGTGGCTTTGGGTGGGTGGGTGAATTTGGGTGGCTTTGGGTGGGTGGATTTGGGTGGGTGGCTTTGGATGGATTTGGGTGACTTTGGGTGGATGGGTGGATTTGGGTGGCTATGGGTGGCTTTGTGTGGATGGATTTGGGTGCATGGGTGGCTTTGGGTGGGTGGGTAGATTTGGGTGGCTTTGGGAGGGTGGGTGGCTTTGGGTGAATGGGTGGATTTGGGTGGATTTGGGTGGGTGGGTGGATTTTGATGGGTGTGTAGATTTGGGTGGCTTTGGGTGGGTGGATGGTTTTGGGTGGCTTTGAGTGGGTGGGTGGATTTGGGTGGCTTTGGGTGGATGGGTGGCTTTGGGTGGGTGCATTTGGGTGGATGGGTGGCGGTGGGTGGGTGTATTTGGGTGGCTTTGGGTGGCTTTGGGTGGGTGGATGGATTTGGGTGGGTGGGTAGATTTGGGTTGGTGGGTAGATTTGGGTGGGTGGGTGGTTTTGGGTGGCTTTGGGTGGGTGGGTGAATTTGGGTGGCTTTGGGTGGGTGGATTTGGGTGGATGGGTAGATTTGGGTATGTGGGTGGATTTGGGTGGCTTTGGGTGGATTTGGGTGGGTGGGTGGATTTGGGTGGGTGGGTGGATTTGGGTGGCTTTGGGTGGGTGGGTGAATTTGAGTGGCTTTGGGTGGGTGGATTTGGGTGGATGGGTGGGTGGATTTGGGTAGGTGGGTAGATTTGGGTAGGTGGGTGGATTTGGGTGGCTTTGGGTGGATGTGTGAATTTGGGTGCGTGGGTGGCTATGGGTGGGTGGGTGGATTTGGGTGGGTGGCTTTGCGTGGCGAATTTGGTGCCGGCTTATTGCCCGGCCACTGCCTCCCCGCTCCCATCTGTGGTTCCTCTTCGTGCTTCCGAGCCGCCCTCTCCCTCCGTCAGCGAGCGAGAGAGCGTGCCCCATGCGGCAGACAATCAATGATCGCTCATTCCTCCCAGGGAGTAGGGGGGGGTGGGGGCCCCTCCTCTCTCTCTCGCGCGCGCGGGCCGTCTCACCTTCATGGCCATGAGCTCCTGCATGAGCACGGCGTTCTCGAGGTCGAGGCGGGTGCCGTCGCCGCGCGACTTCACGTCGCAGCTCAGCGCGTCGAGGTGCACGCTCTCCAGCTCCAGCATGGTGAGCGTCACGGCGGCGCAGTCGGCTCGCAGCTGCTGCGCGTAGTCGCGCAGCCGCTGCTCGTCCTCCTTGCTCAGGTCCGCGTCGCAGCTGCTCGCTGTCGAACTCGTCGTGCTGGCGGCGGTGGGCGGACAGGGTGGGTGGGGTAGGGGGAGCGACGGGGATGGGGGCAATGGGACAACACGGAGTTCAGATTCCAGGTCGAGTTGATTTTTGTTGAACCAACAAAAAAAATGTGAGGGACTCACCCACCGCCCCCACCACCACCTCGCTCTCTCAAACGAGCCTCCGTCGCGACTTGTCACCCGGGTGCGACAGACTGGCCGCGACCCCCACCAGGTCTGGCCGCGACCCTCACCTGGTCTGGCTGTGCGAGGAGAGGCTCTCCCAGGGTTGGGCGCCGCCCACGGCGCCCGGCGCGCCGCACACCCCGTCCAGCCTGGCCAGCAGGGCCCGGGCCGCCGCCTCCGCCACCCGGCGGCCCTCGCGGGCCTTCCGGAGCGCCCGCGACGCGTCCTCGGCGCTGCCGCCGCCACCCACCGCCGCTCGGTTGCTCAGCTGCTCGCGCCGATGGAGACGGGGGGTGGGGGGGGTGGGGGTAGAGGGGTGGGGGGTGGGGAGGTTGGGGGGGTAGGGGGGGGGGAGGTTGGGGGGTTGGGGGGGGTGGGGGGGTGGGGGGGTTGGGGGGGTGGGGGGGGGGTTGGGGGGTTGGGGGGGTGGGGGTGGGTTGGGGGGGTGGGGGGGGCCCTTTGGGATCAGAAGGAAACGGAGCGACGCGGCCGGCGGGGGTTAACGGTCGGCGTGCCGGGACCCGCGATTGAGAAGTCGTCGATTGCATTGATGAGATCCGATTCGATTACATTGATCGGTTGGATTGATCGCTTCCATTGTTCTATGGTATTGCTCGATTCCATTGATTGATTGGATTGATCGATTACATTGATCAATTGTATTGATCTATTCAATTGTTCAGTTGGATTGATCGATTTCATTGATAAATGAGATTTTTTATTACATTGATCGATTCCATTGATTGACTGGATTGATCAATTACATTGATTAATTGGATTGGTCTATTTTATTGATTGATTACATTGGTATATTACATTGATCGATTGGATTGATCAGGTCAATTGCATTGATCTATCCCATTTATCAGATTTGATTGTTTGATTCCATTAATCGATTCCATTAATTGACTGTATTGATCGATCCCATTGATCTATTTGATTGTTTGATTCCATTGACCAATGCCATTGATCGATTCCATCTCCCGGTGCGGCACTTGAAACAACGGTGCAAGTTTCTTAAATCCCCCCGTGCCCCCCCCCCCCTCCACCCATCAGCGTAGATGAGTCCATCGCAGTCATCCGATCGCCAGCGGAGTTGCGTGCGGTGGGATCAAGCGTGGGCACTCCTAACTCTCCCAATACGCCTGGGCCACAGTAGGCCAAGCATAAGCCTCTTTCTCTCTCTCTCGAGGGCGGCTCTCTAAAAGCTCCGCCTAGCGGAGGCCTCTTCCGCCAGCAGCGGCGTGAGCGAGCGTCTGCGGGGCCGCGCCTTTACCTCCGCGCGACGGGTCCGCGTTGACACACGACGCTACATGTTTTAAAATCCTTTATATTAAGTTCACTTGCTTGCTTGCTTGCTTACGACCGTGCAAATCTTTCGGTCGTTTTTTAACCCACTTCCCGTGATCCAATCGAGCTGACATTTTGCACGCAGACTCGTTGTGCGTGACAATTAATTTTCTTGAAACTTTTTTTCAAAATTTTACACTTTTTAGGAAAAAATAAATTCTATATAATTACCAATTGCTTAATGGTGGCAGGCAATCATCTGACCCATAGGTGGCAGCCATCTCAAGCCAGAGGACGAGAGGACTCTAGCCGCCACGCATATAAAGGATTTATAGTGAAAAACTTTGTTTTGACGGGTTAATTTTTTGTCTTGACCCGTCAACTCTCTCTCTCTCTCGAAGTAGCAAATCAAGGCAGACGAGAAGCCCACTCACCTACGGAGCCGACTCCGGCGGCCTGGAACTGTCCCAGGATGAGGCCTTGCTCGCTCTCAGCCAGCGCCATGAGGGCCTCGTACGCCTCGATGCACTGCTCACTGGACGCACGCACGCACACACAAGACAAAGATCCCCCAGGTAGCCGTTAACAGACTGTCGGGGCGAGTGCTGCTAGCTAGTAGCACCTATGAAGGCCGGCACGGCACGCGACGCGGGGAAGAGTGGGTGGCCAGCACCACGCCCGGCCGCCTTTGTCTCTCCAGTGGTGATGGTTAAACATCTCACCAGGTACTCGTTTTTTAGGCGGAGTCGACCTAGGTGAGGCCCAGGACCGGTTCAGAAAATCCTCACCGGTGGCAGGCCACGAGCGGGAATGCAACTCGGGTCGTATGCACGCGAGTACGTTGAACTTCTTTCGCGCCATACGTAGCCGACCGTGCTAATCGGAGTCGCGTGTCCGCCGTAAGTTTGAACGCGCAGGCTTTCGCGACCAATATCGTCCACAATACAGAAACGTGTCGTTCAAAGCGCCCCCACCACCGTCGCTCCCCCACCTTAACCGGGGTGGGGGGGGGGGGCGGCAGAGGGACCGCTGGCGCCCGCCGCTCACCTGTACTGCAGGGCGAGACGCAGGGCGGTGCTGTTGGACTCGTGCTTGCCCACGAGCATGCTCATCCTCTCCGCGTTGTTCTTGCACTCCTCCAGCGTGATCGTCAGCAGGTCGTTCTGAGATTTGAGGTGCTCGATGCGGCTGCGGGCAAAACCGACGGGCCACCACCGTGTGAAGGGGGGGGAGGGGTTGGGGGGGGGATGGGGGGACTCAAGCGTGAAGCTTCACTGGCACCTTCGGACAAACATCACGAGTGGTGGCATGGCCGGTGCAGTGGTGAGTTTAGACTCCGGGTCACGGGGTCACGGGGTCACATCGGCGGCGAGCGATAACCGGATATGCCGCCTTGACCTACCCCCCCTCCACCCCAACCAACCTTTCGCCAACCCGCAATGAACAGCCCGGTGAAGTATGGCAAGCAAAAAGTTCCCAAGTCCATCATGGAGCGAGAGGGAAGGCCTTCATTCAATCGGTGGATTTGGTAATGAATGGATGGACAAATTTTTTTTGTTTACTTTCACACATACACACACGGACGGGTATGTATGTGTGTATGTTGAACTTCTTTCACACCGTACGTAGCCAACCGCGCTAATCGGAAGTGCTAATCGGACGTGATGATGATAATGATGCTTTAAAATAAAACACAAACGTGTCCCAAAAATGTTGAATTTATGTTTCCATATTTTTGTTCGTCAAATGTTATTCACGTCAATTCATATAATCCGCAAACGTACCCCGCTTATCGCCACGCGGGGAGGGGGGGGCAAACCAGTTGAGTTGCAGACAATCACGGACAACGGGACGAATTTGCCAACGAACTCCAACGTATCCGCGATTGCGACGTAACCAACCCCTGCTCTACGGAGGTGCCATGAGCGAGCTCAGAACCGCCCCCACCCCCCCCCCCCCCCCGCTCACCTGTTGAGCCGCTCCATCTCGACCTCGAACTCCCGCAGCTTGCTCTCCGACACGGAGGAGCCGTGCGAGCAGAGCGTCTGGAAGATCTCCTGGATGTTAGAGCAGTCCTGCAGCGAGTGCGCCAAGTGCTCCGCCACGCTGCTCGACACCTGCACCACGAGCCAGCGAGCGAGTGAGCACACGGAACACACGCAGACGAGGTGCACGCACACGAAACGCACGCACGCGAAACGCACGCACGCGAAACGCACGCACACGAAACGCACGCACGCGAAACGCACGCACGCGAAACGCACGCACACGAAACGCACGCACGCGAAACGCACGCACGCGAAACGCACGCACACGAAACGCACGCACGCGAAACGCACGCACACGAAACGCACGCACGCGAAACGCACGCACACGAAACGCACGCAC